AAATGTAACTGAATAAAGCCTAATGTTGTGCTATTATAATGACATGATTTAAAGTAAGCTAATTATATAATCTGTACTGGAATGTTACTGAATAAAGCCTAATGTTGTGGTATTATAATGACATGATTTAAAGTAAGCTAATTATATAATCTGTAATGAAATGTAACTAAATAATGCCTAATGTTGTGGTATTATAATGACATGATTTAAAGTAAGCTAATTATATAGATCAGTACTGAAATGTTATTGAATAAAGCCTAATGTTGTGGTATTGTAATGACATGATTTAAAGTAAGCTAATTATATAGATCATTAATGAAATGTAACTAAATAATGCCTAATGTTGTGGTATTATAATGACATGATTTAAAGTAAGCTAATTATATAGATCATTAATGAAATGTAACTAAATAAAGCCTAATGTTGTGGTATTATAATGAAATGATTTAAAATAAGCTAATTATATAGATCATTAATGAAATATAACTAAATAATGCCTAATGTTGTGGTATTATAATGACATGATTTAAAATAAGCTAATTATATAGATCAGTAATGAAATGTAACTGAATCAAGCCTGATGTTGTGGTATTATAATGACATGTTTTAAGGTAAGCTAATTATACAGATTAGTACTGGAATGTAACTGAATAAAGCCTAATGTTGTGGTATTATAATGATGTGATTTAAAGTAAGCTAACTGTATAGATTAGTACTGAAATGTAACTGAATAAAGCCTAATGCTGTGGTATTATAATGACATGATTTAAAGTAAGCTAACTGTATAGATCAGTACTGAAATGTAACTGAATAAAGCCTAATGCTATGGTATTATAATGACATGATTTAAAGTAAGCTAACTGTATAGATCAGTAATGAAATGTAACTGAATCAAGCCTAATGTTGTGGTATTATAATGTCATGTTTTAAGGTAAGCTAATTATATAGATCAGTACTGGAATGTAACTGAATAAAGCCTAATGTTGTGGTATTATAATGTAATGTTTTAAGGTAAGCTAATTATATAGATCAGTACTGGAATGTAACTGAATAAAGCCTAATGTTGTGGTATTATAATGACATGATTTAAAGTAAGCTAACTGTATAGATCAGTACTGAAATGTAACTGAATCAAGCCTAATGTTGTGGTATTATAATGATGTTATTTAAAGTAAGCTAATTATATAGATCAGTACTGGAATGTAACTGAATAAAGCCTAATGTTGTGGTATTATAATGACATGATTTAAAGTAAGCTAACTGTATAGATCAGTACTGAAATGTAACTGAATCAAGCCTAATGTTGTGGTATTATAATGATGTTATTTAAAGTAAGCTAACTATATAGATCAGTACTGAAATGTAAGTGAATGAGGCTTATCTTATAATAGAAACTGACTAGCAGTTTTTTGTTTTTTTTAGAAAATAATATTTAAGAAAACTAAAAATTATAATGAATCGAATCCACTGAATTATCTGTTGGGTACACTTTCTGTTTCTCATATTTTCAACTATAAGGTGTCTAATATCTTATATGGTTTGGCTAGCTCTGGAGTTTGAGGTCAGTTAACTTGTGTTGAACAGTTTTATTTACTATTTGCTTTTATTATCAATTGTTAAGAATAAGAAGAAATGAGAGTTTGAGTGACCAGTTTCAATCTAGTACTCGGGATCTCTCCAAGCAACTTGGTCATTCCAATGAACTAGATTCTGATAATTCTCAGGGTAAGTTTAGAATATTTGTTCTAGAGATATTACTCTAGTAACAAATCCTTTACTACTATTTCAAAATTTAATTGAATAATTTTTGCATTCATAATGGAAGCTAAAGAATTAATGAGTTGAATACAGATTTACAAAGTTTATCCATGAAACTAATATCAGATAAGAAACAACATGGAAAATGGTAAAAAATGGGATTTTAGAGTACATAAAATTCAGTAATTCATTCTTAATGTATATTCCATTGTTTAAATTTATTTCCAAAGCTGGTTCTAGATTTTTAATTGTTTAGGTAATTGATTTTCTTTTTGATGTTGAAAAAACATTTTTATAAGAGTATCAAACATAGAGTAGTGTTGTGTGAATAGTCTGATGTAATTATAAATGTTTATAACAAGATCAGATTTTGTAACCTTTATGTTAAAAGATTAATTTTTGTTCCAAAAATCATCATTGATAAGGAAGCTTATATCTATAATAATAAAAGGGTGAGTCTGTGTGTGTGTGACCACCATAACTCGAAGAGGAAAGAACCTAGAAAATCTTAAATTTTGCACACATATTAAGTGGACCCTGAGTGTGTGCACCTGGGTATTATTCCTTATCCATGTGCATGTGCAACTTTTTGTGAGATAAGCAAGCAAAAACCACATAGAAAAGAAATGTGACTGCCATAGCTCCAAAAGAAAAGAACCTTAAACCTGAAATTTTGCATACATGCTAAGTGGACCCTAAGAGTCTGCATCTGGGTATTATTACTTAT